CCCCCCCCCCCCCCACCCCCTCCTCTTCTTTTGGTTTTTGTATTTTTACAAACGAAGAATTTTCCGGTACCGGTAGCAAAGGCTCGGCAAGGCTCGGCGTACCGATAGCAGGAGGCTTGGCATCGATAGTTGAGAAAGGTATTGGTGGTTAAAGGGCACAAGACGATGCCAACCACAGCTCCGCGAGGAGTGGAAACCCGCTCCTCCTCCTCACCCTTGCTCATTGGCGCTGTTTGCCATATCCTCTCTGTTGTGCTCATGTGTTTGCCCCTCCTCCTGTGCCGTGTGCTCCTCCTGCATATCCTGCTGCGGGGTGGACCGTACTTTGTGGATCGGATAATACTAAGGGGCACACTCCCATCACGAAAAGGGGGGGGTGGGGGAAAACCACACAGACATGGCCCCCAACATCCCCCCAAAAAGTGAAAAAAAAAATAAAAAAAAATTGGTTTGGCTTAGCCGTTGCACCCCTGAAGGGGATGTATGCAGTGAGTTGTAGCAGGGACCTAAGGCTTTGTGCCTCGTACCGCCAAAAAGGTCAGCCCCCCCGCCCAAAATGGAAAAAAAAAAAAAATAGTCGGGCTCAGTCGGTGCACCCCTGAAGGGATCTATGCGTTGAGTAGTAGCAGCGACCTACGGCTTTGTGCCTCGGTCCACCAAAACGGGCCTCACTCCGCTGCACACCACCAGCATCATGGTGGTGTATCTTTCCATGTTCTAGCAGAAAAAGTTGTTCTCATTTTACACATGCGGTGAGTAGTTTAGCGAAGCCTTATAACCAGTTATTGTGAGGCAAGGAGAAGCAGGAAACCAACATGTATAAAATGAGAATGAATCTTTCGCCGGATCATGGAAAGATATACAGTCATTTTTTTGTCCTTTGTGTATGCATTGAAAATGGAAAAAAAAAAAAAAAAAAAAAAAGACGCTCGGAGAAAAACGAAAATAACACATGTGAAAAATGAGAATGAATCGTCCGCCATAATATGGAAAGATAAACCACCAATAGTGCAGCAACGCCCTGTCGGGTTGCACTGTGAACTTGTATTCAAACATTTGTGTCACGTCCACAAGCAACGCGAAAAAAACAACAACCAATAAGATAAAATAGTGCGACACGACGAAGCCCACCCCACCCACCTTCCCTCATTAGAAAAAAAAACGAAACGGCGCTGCAGGCGCCAAAAGTTATCACTCAAGTACACCGCGAACAAAAAAAACGATCCGATGCTTCCTCGATAGCCACGCCCCATTGGTACCAACTCCTCTTCCTCGGCCCTTTCCTTCCCCTCGCCTGTCTTGTAATCATACGACTTCAACTATTATGACGGAAACTTCGGAGGGAACCACCTACTAGATGGTTCGATTAGTCTTTCCGCCCTATGCTCAAGTCCGACGAACAATTTGCACATCTGTATCACAACGAGACAACTTTTTTTTTATCAATTAATCAATTGAAGAAAAATAAAAAAATAGTATCCAATCGAATTAATTGATTCGATTGGATCTTGATTTTGAAATAAAAATCCACTCGGTTGATTCGATTGCATAAGTGTTTTTTTTTTTTTTTTTAAGTCGAGGGGTTGGGCGGCGGGTCAGGGAGGTCGAGGCGAGACTGTCGGCCTCTCGCTCCTTTCGCCTCATCGTCCTCCCTATTCACCTCCTCCCTCCTACTCTCCTACTCCTCCTCCTCGTCCTTGTCCTCCTCCGCCTCTTCTTCGCCCTCCTCCCCGACCTTCTGCCCTCCTCCTCCTCCTCCTCCTCCTCGGCCTTGGCCCTTTCATCCTCATCTTCCTCCTCCTTCTCCTTGGCCCTTTCCTTCTCCTTATCCTCCTCTAATCATACGGCTTACACGATAAAACTATTCGACAATTCCAACTACCTTGAGGAAAACTTCGAAGGGAACCACGTACTAGACGGTTCAATTTGTCTTTCACCCCTATACCAAAGTATGAATAACGATTTGCACGCCAGTATCGCTGCGAGCCTCCACGGAGTCGAGGAGGAGAAGGAGGCGGAAAAGGAGGAGGAGGAGGCGAAGGAGGAAGAAGAAGAAGTAAAAGTAAAAGATGAGGACGAGAAGAAGGCAGAAGAGAACGAGGAGGAGAAAGAAGAGGACGAGGAGGGAGGAGAGCACGACGACGATGAGGAGGGGGAGCAGGAGGAGGAAGAGGAGGAAGAGGAGGAAGAGGAGGAAGAGGAGGAAGACGAGGAGGAAAGGGTCGGGGCCGACGAAGAGGAAGGAGAGAACGACAACGATGAGGAGGAGAGCACGATGGCGATGAGGAGGAGGGGGAGGAGGAGGAAGAGGAGGAGAAGGAGGAAGAAGAAGGTGTAGAAGACGAGGACGAGAAGGAGGAAGAGTAGGACGAGGAGGAAAAAGAAGAAAAAGAGGAGGAAAACGACGTAAACGATGATAAGAGGGATGAGGAAGACGAGGAGGACTAAGAGGAGGAGTAACAACGAAACGAAAGAGGAGGAAGAGGGGGAGGGGGTGGAGGGGGGGTTAAGGGGGAGGACGCGCATTACCTGGAGGGAGGACGAGGCTCTCCGCGACGATAAATAAGGGTGGTGGCGATAGCTCCAGCAACTAAGCAACGGGAAGGCGGGGCAGTGGGCTGTTAGCACCAAAGTACCGGGGGATCAACAGCACGCAGCATGGCAATGGGGCAGCGGGCCGTTGGTGGGGAGGGACAAGGGGGGTAGGCCACTACACAGCGCGCAGTCCGAAACGGGGGCTGCACGATTTCAAATTCAAAGAAGGCCCAATATGGGTCGTGGATCATCGTCGATCAACGGTCCATATCAATTTTTTTTCTTTTTCAAAACTGGTAGGTCACCTTCACAATCTGAAAGCGAGAGGGTGTTCGGGCTGCCACCCTCTACCCCGCCACACCCTCAAATTCAATTTTGGGACTTTACGCATATTTTGCAAAGATCCCCCCCCAAAAGTGTTTCCGATAATATCCAGAGTTCATTTCCCGGCTGCGTAAATTGGATTAATTACGGTCCGCCGAATATCCAAAAATACTACATATTATACAAATATGTAATCATACAACCACGATAGGTTAAAACAAGGTCAAAAACATTTATAGCAAACTTGCATGCAACAGAAAAATTATCACAAAAAATAATAATTAAAAAAAAACATTTTATTTAAAAAAAATTCTTCATATTTAAAAAATTATTATTCCAATGTTCGTCCAATTATAAAATTTTCAGTTTGATTTCATAAGTTCCCGTATAAAAATGAGTTTTTTATTCCCACTACATCTATTTGTTGAAGATGGAATGAAAGTCTGAACGAGTTCATGAAATATTTTAATTAAACTTTCATTCTACTACAACAAATATCTTTTAATTTATATTGGATTGACATATTTATTATTTGAAATCCTTATATAGAATGATAGTTTAATTAAAATATTTCATGAATTTATCTAGCATGCAGTTCAAATAAGAAGGGATACCCTATTCTTTGAAGGAAAATTTTACAAGTGGAATGACATTTTTAAAGATGAAATGAAAATTTGAAATTTAAAATGTAATTTTACTATAAAATAATGATCTAATTATAAAAAATAAGGTATAATAAAGAATTACCATTACAAGTAATAAAAATCCATGATATAACGTAGAAGGTTTCTGACAACTTTTTATAAACCATCTAATAATTATAAATGATTACGACAAGCTAGGGCAAAACTTAAAAAAGTAAAAAACGATTGAACTTGATTATGACTTATCAAAGATTTTCAATAAATATAACCAAAAGGCATCATGGTTCTATAGCTAGGTACATTAGTAACCCACACAACATTGTTTTGAGTATTACGCTGGTATTGATAACAATGATAAAAACAATAATATTTATGACGTTGTCGAACCAAATACCCTTACAAAGGTATGTAAGCATATTTTTGTAGTTCGCATGAGCCGCATCAGTGGTGAGGATTGAGGTAGTGGGGCGGTTATTTTTGCTCGTTTCACAACTGACTCTCAAAATCCGGGGCAGGAGTGAACATATGGTGACGTTAGAGGGTGTGTAGGCGTGCACTTTGAAGGGCATATTGATTATCCAGATGTTTGGCGGTTTCACGGACCAGTGGTAGAACCGGTGATCTCACATAGCAGCGCGAGCTAGAGGGAGATTGAAATTTTGATTAGCATAGTCGCATGCACCGAGTGCGCGCACACAGAGGTCAGCATTGTTTTGGTCAACGTCGAGGTTGACTCGAGGTGATTTTTATCGATAGTCGCTCGACACAAAGTTCATAGACATCTTGGTTATTGCGTCCCTTGCGTATAAAGTGGAATCCTCATACTTTGGCAAGACGTACATGAACGGAGTCCGACACATGAAAGAAGTTGGGGATTTTTTACTTGCAAAAAATAGTGGGATCGTTGGGCAGATTGGTAAAGGTGCAGTTTTGTAAAACGTGGTTACTCCATAAAGGCCAATATCGACAGAGTGACACTTGTGTAGTAGATGATGTGTGCGGCAAGATAAAATAGAGACCGGACCTCCGTGCCACGGAGGCCGAGGTTCGACAACTGAGGGTTTGACCGGTAGGCCAAGGTGCGACATTGGGAAATTTTGGAAGACTGAGGCATGACGTAAGCTACCATATATATGGTATTATGCACTTATTAGTTTTCAAGTTTTGGTTCACCCTATTGTTTAGCGTACTATACATTCACACTGCAGGTACAAGGATCGAGGTCAAAAGTGAAGGGGCGCGATTAGAGAAAATTGAGGGGTTGAGGGTCCCACAAGACTATCCCTCTCGGGTTTTGCAGCCGGTTTTCAGCCCACGGCCCAATTGACGGAATCGAGGTTGTGTCAGTAATGTCCCTTTTTCCCTTCCTCCACTTTTTTCATTGCTTATTATTTAATTACTATTTTATTGTCCTTTTTGTCTAATTTTTGCACGGACCCCGACCCCACTTCCGAAAACGGTGATAAGGCCGATAACCCTAGCTCAGTTGCCAGAACCATAAACTGTTGAAGTACAAATTTGAGTTTGAACTTCAATGAATGACTCCGCTGGAAACAGGTAAGTGAATGCTGAAATTTTGAGTTACCTTGGGTCAGTCAGCAACCAATCTCACCCCCGGGTCCAAACCTGCCAGACCAAGAGGAGGACGAGCCTTTGGATCTGGTACGGAAAAGGAAATTGAGACACCTGATTGAACTAGGTTGTGACGCCGACCCCCTATCAAAGGAGGCCATTTTGCTCATCCCCGCCCGTAAGAAAAATGAAAATAGGAGGTGGGGCTATCGCCAGTAGAGAAGGGCAGGCAGGGGGCAGTCACACTACAGGGCTGGACATCGTTCTGGGCGAAGCCACAAAACAGCACATCTGACGCGGCGTCCGACATTCTGCAGATGCACTTAGAAGAATATCTCGTAGAAAATTTTGCACCAGGGACACATGCAATAGCATCGATCATAACAGGCCCCAACAAGATTTCACAGCGAGATGTCTTTATCCGCTACGATCCCACCAAGGAGGCAGGCCTGACATGGCACACTCGTATCCAACTTTTGAACCTGCAGACAACCAAGATTGGGCACAGTACTACCTGGACGGAACAGGACGTGAAGAAGTGCTTATGTGCCCTTCTCAGGTTAGGCCCCTTGGTGGGGAATGCGGATTGGGACTGGGACCAGTTACCGTGGGCCCGCTGATAAGTGTCAGTTACAGGACACATAATACACATGAACAGCCCAAACAAAATAGAACCAGTTCGAGCGGTGTATGGAAAAGACCGCATCTGGAACTAGTGCAGGAGAGCAGCAGATCTGGATCTGAGGTCCCTAAATGTGAACGGCTTGGCCTCGGGCAAACTCGATAAACAAAATGCGATATGGGGCCTGATGAGGGGTGTAGGAGGACGGCGTTGACCAGACATAGTGTGTATCCAGGAAACACATCTGATGGATACTCTTGAGCACAACCGCATCCACAAAACAATCTGGCCATATAAGGCCTTCAGAGCCCACGCCCCAAAACCGGGCAGTGCAGGGGTGGCCATCTGGATTCCTCATGAGTCCAGGGCATACCCGGTTTACTGGGTAATGGACCAAGAGGAGGGTCGTTGGGCGTCCATACTGGTTACACTGGAACTCGAAATCATCTGCATTGTGTGCGTCTATGCCCCCAACACAGTCAGTGAAAGGAAAATCTTTTTCGAAAACATCAAGACGCAAATCCCGGATGGGGTCCCGATCATCATCGCAGGGGACTGCAACGCAGCCCCCGATCGCTCGATGGACAGATGGCGAACGCCATCCCCTCCCCCGATGTATGTGGAAGAGGACGAACGGATCATCCACGAGCTATGTTTGTCGCTGAAACTCTTTGACTCCTTTCGAAGACTGAACCCAGATACTCGGTTCTACTCTTGTCTACGGAAGATCGGTACCGAGGCCCAGTCGAGGTCCCGGATAGACTCAATTCTTATCTCGGAAGATATGGCAGGATCGCTGCTTCTAGCAACGATCCTCCCTGCCATTCCCTACCCAGGCTTGGACCATAAAATGTGTACGGTTATTCTATCATTCCGACAGAAACCTGATCATGGACCGGGATTCTACAAACTCAACGTCTCTATTTTAAAACAGAACACCTTCAAGAACTTCATCAGAGACTGCTGGTCCTACTGGCACACACAACGGCAGCATATCCCGCAATATACAGACTGGTTCAACAATGGACTCTTTTATTTGGACAAAAAATGGCATGAATATTCCAAACTTTTGGCTACTAAAAAATACCAACAGGAGATGGAAGTTCATCAACAACTCCAACAACTGGAGCACCAAGACCACTCGAACAATACACAGACAGAGTTTCAACGGCTACAACAGCAACTTCAGTCCTTCGTCACACAACGATGGGAGGGTGCACGGATAAGAGGGAGGTTGACTAAATTGCAAACGGAAGGAACAATGGACAAAAAAAATTCTTCAGCATTGCCCGAGCACGTTCGCACAGAGCATCCATAGAAGCTCTATACAACCCACAAACCGGACATCAAGACATTGCTACCTCCTCCCCCCCCTGCCTCCAGATCGCCCGGTCCTTCTTTAAAGATCTGTTCACTTCTAGATGTGCCCATAGGGAGAGGAACATCAGGGAAATGGAAATAGAAGCGTTCTTGGAACCGCTGGAAAAGGCCCTGACGGGCCAACAGCAAGCAAATCTGGACCGCCCCCTGTCCAAAGAGGAAATATGGACGACAGTGATGTAGATGGACGAAGAAAAGACCCTGGGAATGAATGGATTTCCCAAGGAGTTTTGGGAGACCTTCTGGACCTGTATGGCACCAGACCTCATGGAGTTCTACTGTCAGGTGTGGGACACAGGACAAATGGGGGAACTTGTCGGCCAAGGAATTCTCACCCTGTTACATAAAAAAGGGGACAAAATGGACATTAGGAACTACCGGCCGATAACATTATTAGCAGTGGTCTACAAAATGTTAGCAAACGCCTTGGCAAATCGGTTAATCCCGGTCATGGATGACATCATTCATCCGACACAGACCGACTTTGTCAAAGGACGCAGGATTCACGGCAACATTCT